AGTTTTTGCACTAATCTCTTGTGTGGTACTGTGTCAAATGCCTTCTTGCAGTCTAAGAAAATGCAATCCACCCACCCCTCTCTCTCTTCTCTTACTGCTGTCAACATGTCATAGAACTCCAGTAGGTTTGTGACACAGGATTTCCCGTCTCTGAAACCATGTTGTCTGCTGGTGATGAGATCATTCCTTTCTAGGTGTTCCACCACTCTTCTCCTGATAATCTTCTCCATGGTTTTGCATACTATACATGTCAGTGACACTAGTCTGTAGTTTAGTGCTTCGTGTCTGTCTCCTTTTTAAAGACTGGGACTACATTTGCTGTCTTCCATGCCTCAGGCAATCTCCCTGTTTCGATAGATGTATTGAATATTGTTGTTAGGGGTACACATAGCGCCTCTGCTTCCTCTCTCAATACCCATGGGGAGATGTTATCTGGCCCCATTGCCTTTGAGGTATCTAGCTCACTCAGAAGCCTCTTCACTTCTTCCTCGGTTGTGTGCACTGTGTCCAGCACATGGTGGTGTGCCCCACCTCTCCGTCTTTCTGGAGTCCCTTCTGTCTCCTCTGTGAACACTTCTTTGAATCTCTTGTTGAGTTCCTCACATACTTCACGTTCATTTCTTGTTGTCTCTCCTCCTTCCTTCCTTAGCCTGATTACCTGGTCCTTGACTGTTGTTTTCCTCCTGATGTGCCTGTATAACAGTTTCGGGTCAGATTTGGCTTTCGCTCCTATGTCATTTTCATATTGTCTTTGGGCCTCCCTTCTTATCTGTGCATATTCGTTTCTGGCTCTACGACTGCTCTCTTATTCTCCTGGGTCCTTTGCCTTCTATATTTCTTCCATTCCCTAGCACACTTGGTTTTTGCCTCCCTGCACCTTTGGGTGAACTATGGGCTCATCCTGGCTTTTTCATTATTCCTGTTACCCTTGGGTAGAAACCTCTCCTCAGCCTCCTTGCATTTTGTTGCTACATATTCCATCATCTCATTAACTGGCTTCCCTGCCAGTTCTCTGTCCCACTGAACCCCGTTCAGGAAGTTCCTCATTCCTGTGTAGTCACCTTTTTTGTAGTTTGGTTCATTCGTCCGGCCTTCCCGCTTCTCCCTCCACCCTTTTAGCTTTTACTGTGGATTCCAAGCTTAAAACCACATGGTCGCTGGCCCCAAGGGTCTTTCATATGTGATGTCCTCGATATCTGCATATCAAGGTGAATACTAAGTCCAGCTTTGCTGGTTCATTCCTTTTCCTCTCTCTCTTGTTTGTGTCCCTTACGTGTTGGTACTGATGTTTTCCAGTACACCTCCATCATCTTAGCCCTCCATGTATCTTGGCCCCCATGTGGGTCCACGTTCTCCCAATCGGGTCTCCTTGTGGTCAAAGTCACCCATGATCAGGAGCTTTGCCCTGCATGCATGAGCTTTTCTGGCAATGTGTGTGTGTGTGTGTGTGTGTGTGTGGGGTGTGTGTGTGTGTGTGTGTGTGTGTGTGTGTGTGTGTTGTGGTGTGTGTGTGTGTGTGTGTGTGTGTGTGTGTGTGTGTGTGTGTGTGTGTGTGTCTGTGTGTCTGTGTATTTGGGTTTTTGGGGTGTGTGTACTCACTAGTTGTTTCACCTGTTGGGTTGCAGGGGTCGAGTCCGAGCTCCCGGCCCGCTCTTCACTGGTCGCTACTAGTCACTCTCCGAAACCCTGGCTTTATCATACCTTGTTAAAGCTATGTATGGAACCTGCCTCCACTACATCGCTTCCCAAACTATTCCACTTTCTGACTACTCTGTGGCCAAAGAAATACTGTTAGTTACCATTTTGTCCTAGGCACATGTCGATTTGACACTAGGCTGTTGTGTGTGTAGGTGTGTGTGTAGGTGTGTGTGTAGGTGTGTGTGTAGGTGTGTGTGTAGGTGTGTGTGTGTGGTGTGTGTAGGTGTGTGTGTGTTAGGTGTGTGTTGTGTAGGTGTGTGTGTGGTTAGGTGTGTGTGTGTAGGTGTGTGTGTAGGTGTGCGTGTGTGTGTGTGTTGTGTTAGTTACCATTTTGTCCTAGGCACATGTCGATTTGACACTAGGCCTGTTGTGTGTGTAGGTGTGTGTGTAGGTGTGTGTGTAGGTGTGTGTGTGTTGTAGGTGTGTGTGTGTGGTCTGTGTGTGTGTGTGTGTGTGTGTGTGTGTGTGTGTGTGTGTGTGTGTGTGTGTGTGTGTGTGTGTGTGTGTGAGTGTGTGTGTGTGTATGTGCGTGTGTGTGTGTGTGTGTGAGTGTTTTGGGGTGTGTGTGTGTGTATAAGTTTATGTGTGTGTGTGTGCTGTTGTTGTGTGTGTGTGTGTGTGTGTGTGTGTGTGTGTGTGTGTGTGTGTGTGTGTGTGTGTGTGTGTGTGTGTGTGTGTGTGTATGTGTGGTTGTGCACTCACTTAGTTGAGGTTGCAGGGGTCGAGTCCAAACTCCTCTGTGTGTGTGTGTGTGTGTGTGTGTGTGTGTGTGAACAGTAGCTCATGTCCTTCACCCACCATTACAGCATTGTTTAACAAATCACTAGTTAGCTTAATATCTTTATTATGCATCCCACACCCATCCTGTGGGCGATAGTCAAAAAGACTACAGAGGTACATTATGTGTCCAGGGACTGGGCCGCAAATATCTGCTGGCTGAACCATTCACACGTCTACACCTAATCACAATTGCAATGATTTTTTAATGTAAATGTTTGCTTTACTTACAATGAGCAAAGTCAGGGTATTTTTGATGACTGGGTTGTAAAACACCACTGTGGATAAAATACTATGACATATCTTGCACATTTCTGAGTGAGTTGTCTCTGAGTTCATTAATTTTATCGCATTCCAGTAAATAATGAGGGAAGGTGTGACAATGGTCCTTCTGGCAAAGTTTACATTTCGTTTGGTTTACGCAACTTATCTGATATTAACATTGCTCTCCAAAATTTTCGAGAAATTAATACACAAGATATTATACTCTTTTCTGGAATCGAGCAATTTACTAAATCCCTGCCAATTTTTTTTTCAGACCAAATAAAAGCACAAATGATGCATTTATAAAAATGTTGGACATCCTTTATACAACGCATGAAAATAATGAATATCTACTAGGCCACTTTCTTTAGTTTAAGAAAGCTTTCGGCATAGTCAACCACAGTATCCTGCACCTCATACCTGGTCATTATGGTATCAGAGGTCATGCGCTTTCGTATATAAGGAACTACATTACCAACACGGTGCCCCGTGGCCTGATGGTTAAAGCTCTCGCTTCACATGGTAAGTGTCTGGGTTCGATTCCCAGCATTGGACGTGTTTCCTTACACCTGTTATATATGTTCCCCATCAGTGAAATGGGTACAAGGGTGTTAGTTGACTGGTGTGTGTCACATCCTGGGACAAAACTGAGGTAAGAACATTCTGGTTGTGGGAGACTCCTAGGTAAGATAAATGGACCATGTCTTTTGTAAGAGAGATAGAAAGGTGAGACAGAGAGTGTGCTTCCCAGGAGCCGGTGTTGGTGACAGTCAACAGGTTGGATAATTGTGGAAATGACACTGGGAAGGGCAGGAGGCAGGAGCTGCTGGATATATACAAGTCAGCCATATATGTAGTCAGGTCTAAGGGAGGGATCCCAATCATATGTAGCATTTGCCTAAAAGGGAAGTGGGTAATGAATGGATGTCTAGGGCAATTGGTATAAATTTCTGGCTAGACAGGTACTGCAATGAACTTGCAATCCCATTCATGGATAACTGGGACAAATTCTATGGAAAATGTGATTTGTTATCAAGGGATGGGGTACATCTCTCTGGGGTCTGAGTAGTTGCATTAGCTAAATCGATTGAGGGAGCCATTGCTGACTTGTCTAGGACTTTAAACTGATCGATTATAGAAGTATGGGTGTTTGTGGGAAACAATCAAGCTGCAGTACTAGGGTTGAAAACAGAAGATATTACCAGAATACCTCAGGGATATCTTTAAAAGACAATATCAAAATAAAGTTGCTTGTAAAGGCAAAGCAATTGATCAACAAACAAAGAGAGACAATAGAGGGCAGCGAGTGACTAGCTCCCTTAAGGTTTACTACACTAATCATGGAGTCTAAGGAATAAGATAGATGAGCTAAGATTACTTGCAAGTGCTGGTAATATAAATATTATTGCTATAGCTGAGACCTGGTTCAACTTGAAAGATAGAGAAATGCCTTCTGAATGTAACATACAGGGTTATTAACTATTCCACACTGATAGGGTCAACAGGAAGGGTGGTGGAGTGGCGATATAGTCAGAGATAATTTAAATTGTAGGTGTTAGACAAGATATAAGATTAGAAACATCGGATTCAGAATCTGTTTTGCTACAGTTTGTCGTGGGTCATGACAAATTAATTTTGGGAATGATTTATGGGCCCCCAAACCTTAATAGGAAGTGCAGTAAGCTACTATGGGGCGAAATTCATAAGGCGTCTAGATATGAAAATGTTGTGTTAATGGGAGATTTTAACTTTGAATTAATTGATTGGAACAATATGATAGAAAATCTTGAGTCTAGTGACTTTCTTGATACGGTTCAGGATTGCTTTTTTAAACAGTTTGTGACAGAACCAATTAGAGGAAACAACTTGCTTGACTTTGTTCTTGCCAACGAAGAATCACTAATCAATAATCTTGAGATTAATGATGAGCTTAGCACTTAGTATCAACATATCATGGAATTACCCATTACCACGATAATGTCGTCATACCAACCAACACGAAGTAGAAGCAGATCGCTGCGCACTTGGGAATTCCAACTGATTTTCACGCAGTATGTCGCAAGACAGTCCTTTTAACTCATTTAGAAGCATATTATTTAGGATTTTGTATCAAAACTTAATTCACATTTACTAAGTAAAATGATAACTGCATTAGATAATTTACGAGAAAACATTACAATATTGAGCACATAGCGTTAGACAATAGGTCGTGTTGGCATCATACGGGCCAGTTGCTGGCACCCTCATATAAGGCAGCAGAGTGCCTGGGCCACGTTAGTCACTCTTATTCCCGCCACAATGCGCACAGCTACATTAGTCAGTGTGGTGGTGCTGTCACTGATTGTGGCACCTCTCGTGCCACAGAGCAATGCGCAGCTCTGGGAGGCCATAGCGGGAGCTGTCTCAAATAAAGTGATTTCGTAAGTAAAAGTCATTTACAACAGTCAAATATTGCATATATTTTTTTAAGCTGTGGTTTCATAAAACATTTTTTGTCACGCTGCTATTTTGTGTTAGAACCTGATTCATTCATGCTACAGAAGCACCATTGATAAACTCTTGTATTGTTAACAGATTGTGGGATCAAGGAGAGGTGGAGCTGATGGGACACTACTGTAACTACAGAGTTGTGCCCAAGTTCAGGAGGTGGCAGCTCTACTTCAATGGCAGGATGTGGTGCCCCGGCTGGACCACCATCAGGGGAGAAGGTAATATATTTTCTTTTTATGGGAACTTCAACAGGAGTTCATCATTGTGAGTTTCACTGAGTGAAGAACTTCAACAGGAGTTCATCATTGTGAGTTTCACTGAGTGAAGAACTTCAACAGGAGTTCATTAAGGTGTTGATCACTGAGCGAAGAACTTCTCATGAGTGTCTTCATCTTAGCATGAGTGTCTTCATCTTAGCATGAGTGTCTTCATCTTAGCATGAGTGTCTTCATCTTAGCATGAGTGTCTTCATCTTAGCATGAGTGTCTTCATCTTAGCATGAGTGTCTTCATCTTAGCATGATGTCTTCATCTTAGCATGAGTGTCTTCATCTTAGCATGAGTGTCTTCATCTTAGCATGAGTTCTTCATCTTAGCATGAGTGTCTTCATCTTAGCATGAGTGTCTTCATCTTAGCATGAGTGTCTTCATCTTAGCATGAGTGTCTTCATCTTAGCATGAGTGTCTTCATCTTAGCATGAGTGTCTTCATCTTAACATGAGTGTCTTCATCTTAGCATGAGTGTCTTCATCTTAGCATGAGTGTCTTCATCTTAGCATGAGTGTCTTCATCTTAGCATGAGTGTCTTCATCTTAGCATGAGTGTCTTCATCTTAACATGAGTGTCTTCATCTAGCATGAGTGTCTTCATCTTAGCATGAGTGTCTTCATCTTAACATGAGTGTCTTCATCTTAGCATGAGTGTCTTCATCTTAGCATGAGTGTCTTCACCTAATAGCTTCACATGTCTACTTTATTAATGAAAAGCTCTACTCAGCTCATTGGGATGATAGAGGAGTTACATAATGACTGTCGCAGTTCAGCAAAAAATTCTGTGCCACTCCGTGAAGTGTCCGGGAGACAGTAGTTACTGTGTACTGTGTCAGGGAGACAGTAGTTACTGTGTACTGTGTCCTGGAGACAGTAGTTACTGTGTACTGTGTCCTGGAGACAGTAGTTACTGTGTACTTTGTCAGGGAGACAGCAGTTACTGTGTACTGAGTCAGGGAGACAGTAGCTACTGTGTACTGTGTCCTGGAGACAGTAGTTACTGTGTACTTTGTCAGGGAGACAGTAGTTACTGTGTACTGTGTCCTGGAGACAGTAGTTACTGTGTACTGTGTCAGGGAGACAGTAGCTACTGTGTACTGAGTCAGGGAGACAGTAGTTACTGTGTACTGAGTCAGAGAGACAGTAGTTACTGTGTACTTTGTCAGGGAGACAGTAGCTACTGTGTACTGAGTCAGAGAGACAGTAGTTACTGTGTACTGTGTCCGGGAGACAGTAGTTACTGTGTACTGTGTCCTGGAGACAGTAGTTATTGTGTACTGTCAGGGAGACAGTAGTTACTGTGTCCTGGAGACAGTAGTTACTGTGTACTGTGTTATTTGTGCTTTTTCCATTACTGTAAATGTTTATACAAGTGTCTTACATTACAGCGACCACCAGAAGCAGGTCTGGTGTCATTGGAGACACGACTCGTGACTTCGTAAGAAAGGCCTTCGAAGCTGGTATCATCACAGAACAATCAGCCCAGCAGTGGCTCAACTCTTGAAGCATCACTCACTCTTCATCCAGATAATGATCCTAGAAATATATATATATATATATATATGATGTCGTGCCGAATAGGCAGAACTTGCGATCTTGGCTTAAATAGCAACGCTTATGTTGCCATATAGGACAAGTGAAAATTTGTGTATGCAGTAATTTCGCCAAAGTCATTCTGAACCTAACGAAAAAAATATACTTCATTGTGTTTGTTTAGTATTAAATTATTGTAAACGTATTTAAAATATATTTAGTTGGATTAGGCTAAAATAAATTATGCTTGCTATAATAAGGTTAAGTAAGTTTTCTAAGATTCTTCTGATGCAAAATTATAAATTTTTACATCAACATTAATGAAAAAAATATATCTTTAAACGTATAAGAGAAAATTTTAGAAAGAACTTAATTTTAAATGAGTTCTTGCTAATTGACCAGTTTTACATATTCGGCACGACATATATATGTATTATATATATATATATATATATATATATATATATATATATATATATATATATATATATATATATATATATATATATATATATATATATATATATATATATATATATATATAAATAATTTCGAGGTGCATTAGTGTTTTAATTAATATTTTAAATCCTTATTGTGGAAGAGTATCTTACAATTATCCTGGTAAATATGTATAGTAATATAATTTCTTAATGTTTTTCCAAAAGACTTCTGAAGAACCCCAAGAAAATTATCTTCTTGTGTTGAGAATATGATTCATCATGTACCATAGAGAGTATTCATCCATCATGAATGAATGAACTTACATATATGTTTTATGCAATAAAGTTTTTTCTAACCTTAGATAACAGTCTTTGAATTGTTCTCCAGCTGGATTGTTATAATCATAATATTTAAGGAGGTGTACCGGTAAGCCAGTGGAAGGCCTCAGTGAAATGACCAGAAGCTCCAGCGGCAGGTCATCATATGACTAAGACCCGCGTCAGGAAACACTTGTCCTGTTTCCTGACGAACCTTACCTAACCTCCAGTTGGATTTTGCTGCTCTAAATTTGGTGTAATTTGAATACTGTTTTATATTCTATTTTACATAAAGAACACTACTCTTTTATACGATATAAACATATCACAAATACACACACAGACGCACTCGACCCGTGTAACCACATTCAGGTGAGTATTCAGAAAACTAGTATAGTACATAATATATATTTGTCCTGTTTCCTGACGAACCTTACCTAACCTAACATAATATATATGTTTATGGTTATTCCTTTTCTTACAGAAGAATAGTTATACATTCCATCAAACTCCAAGATGTGACCAGCACAATAAATTGACAATTCAGTGAATAAAACGCGTCAATTTTTTTTTATTCTATTAAAAAATATCTTAGAGGAAAAGAATAGCATAATATAAATAATATATTTCACTCTAAAATAACAATCTGAATTATAGCTCAACAACCCTCCTTATTACTGCTGATTTTTCTATAGAAATCAGAACGAAAACTGGAGAATAAGAAAGGCAGTCATCTTTATTGTCAGCAACAAAGAAACCTAAGTGACGTACATGTGTCTTATTTGTCAGTCTGATAGTTTGTTTACCATTAATAAGAACGGAAACTCAAGTTTTTTCACTGTGTTGTTCTTACAATTAGTGGTTGAGTATATACCAGCTTCTGTAATGGTTCTTCTCAGGCAAGAGTCAAGGGCGTAGCGGAGAACAGGTTATGTCACGGTGGCTAACATTTGATGTCATAGTGGAATACATTGATGGTCACACTGGAGGTCATCTGATGTACCACTGTAACACATTTGATATGCCACTGTAGCACATTTGATGCGGCCTTTGATGTACCACTGTACCACATTTGATGTACCACTGTAGCACATTTGATGTACCACTGTAGCACATTTGATGTACCACTGTAGCACATTTGATGTACCACTGTAGCACATTTGATGTACCACTGTAGCACATTTGATGTACCACTGTAGCACATTTGATGTGCCACTGTACCACATTTGATGTTCCACTGTAGCACATTTGATGTACCACTGTACCACATTTGATGTACCACTGTAGCACATTTGATGTGCTGTTGGAGCACATCCAAGTTTACTGGATACATTTAATGTTACACTGGGGTACATTTAATGTGACATTGGAACACATTTAATGTGACATTGGAACACATTTGATGTAACATTGGAACACATTTGATGTGACATTGGAACACATTTAATGTGACATTGGAACACATTTAATGTGACATTGGAACACATTTAATGTGACATTGGAACACATTTAATGGACATGGAACACATTGATGTGAATTGGAACACATTTAATGTGACATTGACACATTTGATGTGACATTGGAACACATTTAATGTGACATGTAACACATTTAATGTGACATTGGAACACATTTGATGTGACATTGGAACACATTTAATGTGACATTGGAACACATTTAATGTGACCATTGGAGCACATTTGATGTGACATTGAACACATTTAATGTGACATTGGAAACATTTGATGTGACATTGGAACACATTTAATGTGCATTGGAACACATTTAATGTGACATTGGAACACATTTGATGTGACATTGGAACACATTTAATGTACATTGGAACACATTTAAGTGACATTGAACACATTTAATGTGACATTGGAACACATTTGATGTGACATTGGAACACATT